CATACGAGTAGTAAATTATTTAATATAGTAGGTAATTTTCTGATTAAGAAATTTACATTTTTTTCAAGGTACTTCTATAATATTTTTTATTAGTTAAATACACCTAATATAAATTGTTTGTGGTAATATGAAATGTTTTTTTATGTTTGATATAATATGTGATAACTATTGTATTTTAATAATATTTAAGTAATATTCAAGTTTATTTTATATAATATGTTACTTGGTACCTAAATATTATCCTTCCATGCAGTTTCAAAATGTGGTTTTATATTGTTGGAAAATAATATGAGAAGAATATGGTCAAGCGTGGGAAAAAAATAGGATTACACATAAAGGTATTTAATTTAAAATATACGAATAATGCACATACTATATTTTATTTATATATACCTATAGGTACCTATATACATGCATATATATATATATATATATTATATATACATTATTTATACCTAACCGACCGAGGGATAATTTATTGACGACACCACCGACCGTAGAAAATAAGGATAATAAAATGACAAAACCTGTTGGTACTGGTTTTTTTTCCCATCAGTGTATTAATCTTACAGACAAAGTACATTACTGATTTTTTTTCGTTTTGACTCCGTACCACATCGACCCAGGAGTTTATATGTATAGGAGCCAGCAGGCGACAATGCAATGTACTATTATATCAGTGATATCGTATTGTCCGAAATGACGGTAGAAACTGCAAAGTGGAACCTGTACATTTTATTTAGTATTGATAATTTTAAAAACTTTACTATTATACAACTCGTATTTATTATATGTTACATAAAGTAGATATTAATATAATTGAATTCACAAATTTACATATTCTATTATTATATATAAATGTGTTATACTATTATACATATACTTATATGTGTATTTTTTATGATATCTTGATCAATATTTATATATATATGTATTATAATATGTCTATGTGTCTTTATAATTTCAAATTTCAATAATAATACATATAAATAAACTATAGATACGAAAAAAGTTACCCATCAATAGTTATTAGAAATTATAAAAAAAATATCTTTTTACACTATACAGAAACTTTTGAAACAGACATAAAAATGTAAAAATTAATCTCTTTTTAATCTTTGTTTCTGATTTTCCGTGCTCTACTTCAGTGATTCCTAACTCGACCAACGAGGGGTTTGTGGTAGTGCTTAGAAGTAGGGAACTATAGTATTTATTGACACTACTCTACTCCACAATTTTGCAAGATCTAACGATTTAATTCACTTTATATCTACGTGGTTGAGTGTTTTTGCCCTATAGGTACACCCACTTATCGTTTGAACATAAATTGTGTTTAAATGTAAGTGTTTAGTCTTACATTTTCACATTGCTGTACAAACTTAATTTATTCAAAAACATTAATAATAATTAGTAGGTAATTATAAGGATTTACGTTATTATGACTTTATGTGACTAAAATAATGCAAAATGCACACAAAATATGTATATATGTAATTCACATATAATATGCCTAGCAAATAAGGCGCCCAAGGTTATATATAGTAATAAAGTAATAGCAATCAACAATTATCAAATAATAATAATTGCTGCAGTAACCACTGACAGCAAATAATACGAAGGATGAGCTGAGAGAAGACTGGAGGCAGCTGCGGGATCAGGAACGAAGTCGTAGTTCTCACGAAGACAAACGCTAGCCGTGAACGATTTTTATTTGGTCTTCGCTGGAAACGACGACAGCGTTCAAGTCCAAAGGCTATACACTCGCGTTATGCCAGGCGCGAGGTGCGGCCGGGATGGAACGACGACTTAACGTTGACACACACGCGTCGTCGGAAAGGCACAATGATCTCGTTAACAGCACGCAGCACCTAACCGACGTACCGTGTGTCTAGTTCGACCGCCAAGAAAAGACAATTGGACACCGGCGGCGCAGCCTACGGCAGGAATAATAAAATAGCCAACAACCTTGCGCCGGACGGCAGATGAGAGGGTAGCAGCGCAGTATTTACAATTTTTGCGCCCTGGGTCAACCATAATTTTACGCCATGAAAAAATAGATCCACTTTTTTGATTTTTTTTAACGCGTTTTTAAGTCATAGTTGTCTATCTACAACCGTGGTTATGTTAAAATAATATTAATTATATTCTATGCTAGCACTTATCCGTTATCGTTGCACTACTAAATTCACAAGGGTCGTGTCATAGTACAAATTCTTTCAAAAAAAAAAAATATTTATTGTTACAATACTATACCGGGTTACAGCGGTACCTGGCTGCCCCTAAATAGATCGATATTTGACCGACCGGGGCAACTGTCCGCATTTCCCCCCCTTAAATATGGCCCTGTGGGTTAGCCACCACGTGAACATTCTGCGTGCAAGTGGCAACATGCAGTGACGGAGAATAGGACGCACGACGTAGAAAGGATGAAGCAGCGAAAGTCCGAAGTGGATGGATGTTCAGCTGCTGGTTGCACATATGTAATCCCTATGGTGTACATTTTTTTTTTATAATTTTATACATCGTTAACAAAATACTCGACAAAAAATAACACCTACAATAATACATGCAAGTGCATAGTATTACCTACACTTTTACCTATAGCTTATAATTAAAATAAACAAATGAACGTAAATAAAGTTCATGTAACAAATAAATGTATGGACATACAAGGTAATAATACAATGTTCAAAATGAAAATAGTATTAAACTATATAATTATACAAATATGAGGATTCCCCGGCATCTCAACTCTCAGCAGTCATGATGTGCACTAAGTTTTTTTTCTAGTACATAATTAACTGGTGGGTTGGATCGGTGAGTTGGACCCATCGTTTCAGGGAGCATGGTGTTTACAGGTGACACAAAAGGACGCGACAACGTATCATTTTCAAATGATTGTTGGATAATAATTCCAATATTGACAGAATTCACTTATTACCTTTCGGTGGACAATTATTAGCCGCAATTTGTACATAGGTCGCGGGCCTACCCTCTTTCCCACCGACGCAGAACGAGTCGAAATACTTCTTGGTGGGGTACAACCATTGGTGTAATCGACGATAAGGTTAGCCGTGTAACACATAACGCCGACGCAATGGACATGGTACTTTCGCGACTGGACTTGAATCCCGGATTTCCGGATTTCGTACACACATTGCGGGCAGACTGCACAACACGCGCCACGCGGTTAAGTCGGAGTACAGCCGGCGGCATACGCGATATCAGTTGCGACGCACACGATACTGGCGGCGAGCATACGAGCTTTAACGTGGCTGGAACTTGAATACAGTTCAATGACCACTTATTGGCTAAAATGGCAGCGCGTGCTGCATAAATAACATCGGGAAGGAGTTACTCGGCCCTAAACAAATCATAAATACACGGCATTTCGAAATTTGTTGATATTACTATACTTACCCGAGCGCAGACACCAACTTGGCCAATGACAACCTATAAACCAAACAATTTTCATATTCTCCAAATTCTCCAAATTCTTAAAAACGTTAAATATTAAAAAAAAAGTAGTTAAAAATTGTCATATTTCAATTTTTGAAGAAGTTAAAATCAAAAATGCGATAATGTTGATCTATTTCAAATGGACTTGACGACAAATTCAAATTTGTTTTCACAATCCTTATCGCATTTACTATATTAATCGGTAGGTTTGGCAAATAACTCATCTCAAACTCCATGTCACGCTTGTGGTAGACAAAGTCAGAAAATCGCGGTATCAAATCCCTCTACGAAGACGCTCCCCATGCGTTTGTTGTCTCCGTCTTACACACGTACGACATAAACACTTTTCGTTTACTAGTTTCAATAGTGTGCTGTTAGTTTCGATATTAAAGTGAATTAACCTATTGCCTAAATTTGAGGTAAGAACGTTTTTTTGATATTTTTATTTTCAAGCGAGATATGAGCATTTTTAATCAGTGATATTTCACATACAGTCGACTTTTAATAATTCGAATTTGGTGGGACTTATAAAAAATGTCGAATTACCAGGTGTTTGATTAGCTAAGTGGTTCGTAATATCAAGAGGGCAAAAAATTATTCGAATTACTGAAGTAAGAAAAAATTTGTCACCTACGATAATAATACGATAGTTATCGGAAATAATAATCTAAAATAAAACACAATTATGAGGTAAATTACCAACCATAAAATTATAAGAAATACCTTTTGGACTTTGGTGAATATACTTTGAATTGCGAAGAGTTGAACTTCGAATAGTCGTATGTTGACGGCTAGTTTTCCATGAAATGTTTCTACGAATTACCGAGTGTTATTAAATATATTGTTTTTATTCGAATTACTGCGACATTTTTAAGGGCACAATCAATTACTTTAAATTACCAACAATTTCGAATAATTGAAAGTTTGAATTATCGAAAGTCGACTATTTATACTCATCTTTTGCTCATAAATAAAAATGTCAAAAATTCGCCAACGCTTATGCACAGATAAAAAAACAAACCTAAAAGTTTGACAATAAGTTAATTCACTCTAATATATAAACTATCAGCACACTATTGAAATTAGTAAACAAGAATTTGGTTTATCTTGTGTTGGTAAGACGGAGCAACAATAATGAGTGGGTGGTACATTTATAAGTAGTTCCAGAGATTACAAACAAACGAACTCTTTTTTCTTCTTTATATATTAGTATATACTATATAGTCTATACCTAGATTATATTATGTTTATAAATGAATATAATATGTTTTTAGTTTTGGCTTACCAGTTTTGTCATTAATTTATTTGTGTCGCGTATTTCATACGAAATCAATTAAACGATCGTTACCATAATAATGCTGAGATATTCTCGACTTAAAATGTGTTATAATGACACAGAAGAATTTTGATCAAAAACCTAAATTTAATACCTATTAATTACTACACATAGTTGGGTTAGTAAGTTAGTAATCATCTAGACACGGCATTGATCATATGTCGTCTATTCCAGTTTGTACTTTTTTTCATTATTTTTGTTAAAAATGTTTGATTGTAAACTATTAATAAGTTTAGTTCAGGAACGTGAAGAATTATGGAATAAAAAATGTAAACATTATAAAAATGTAATTATTCGAAAGAAACTGTGGAATGAAATAGCTACAAAAATGCAATCTCCAAGTGAGTATTAAAAGCTATTTTATTACATTTATACTTTAAAATACAAAAGCACTGGGAATCTTTAACTTTCGTCCCCTTTTTTCTAACTTAAACCGTTTTTATAGGTATATCTTATGTCTTTTTCCTGAATTTAAGTTTCCAAAAATCGAAAATATCATCATTACGTAGATCTCTCCCACTATTTTCACGTTTTTCCTTGAATTCTAATGATTTTTGTGTGGTAAAAATATACAGTAAATATTTATAAGATCCTATGTTCAAAAGTGTTTTCAAAATGTTATATTTTAATTTTAAAACGATTTATGAGTACTGTAAAACTCTCATAACTCGCTTTAAAATTAAAATACAATAAAAACCCCTTACAATGCCAGATAATAATTTTACTTTTAAATTTTATAAGAGGTCAATTTACTCTAGTTCTTAAACTTACTAAGCAAAATGTGATCTGCTGAGCTTAAAATGTGCTATAACACTTGTAAAAAGAAGACAACAAATGTCCTAGCGTCCCCTTTTAATGGCAATATAAATATATAATACCCGACTTCGTCAGAGTACATTATTAAAATAAATTGTATCATATCTGTTCAATGTATCTACATTTTTAATTAAATTTTTTTTGTCTTATGGTTTTATTTTTTTTTATTTTCGCTTTTCATACTAACCTAATTTAAAAATCTAAAACAAAAAATATATATAAATATAATATAAATATATATAAAAAAATAAAACAAATTTTAGTGGTTTAATAGGATTTTATCGCTGTTATTAATTGCAAATATCTTATATTTTAACACATTTTTGTTAGCTACGTTTTTTGTTTTATCATCCTTCGGTAAAACGTAACTGTGATAAGCACATTAATTTTGCTTGATTTATACTCGTTAGGTAGAGTTGCCAGTGGAAAAAATAGGTTTTTCTAAATAAACACCTACTACTTTAAGCGTCTAGCTTTTATAATATTGCCTCCCGAGTGAGTAATTTGTACATGTAACCTTTTTAATTAACCAAATACCATCAAAATCTATTCAGAAATTTAAGCACGAAAGCCTAACAGACGGACAGAGTTACTTTATCGTTTATTTATTAGTAAAGATTATGTGTATACTTATGTTTATTGTTTAGCATGTATAATAATATGTACTTATATAAATTTAAAGATTTTTTAAATATTCAATTTAGTCAAAATTTGAGCTTCAAATATCCATTGTAAATGTATACATTAACATTTGTATTTTCAATATTTTTAAATTGCTATAAATTCAAATTATAATAAACCTTAAATTAAATTATTGAGTTTATAGACAAAATAAAATATATCAACTTTTTTAATTATCCATGAATAATAGAAAAAAAGAGCTATATTATGTATGTTACTGTAAATGATGGCAGTTTATTATTTTTTGGGTTTAATTATCGATAATTTCTACATACAATGGAAAATGTTGATAATATGTAATGTTATATTATGAGGACGCATGTGTTGTCTCCGCCTTACAAAAGCGTAACATATCAAAATTGTAAATTGTTTCTACAACTTAAAATACTCATAACTCTCTTTAAAATTAAACTATAATAAAAAGCCCACTAGAAGCCTTCCGTAATAATCTTACCTTTAATTTTAATAAGAGGTCAATTCACTCTAATTTTTAAGCTAACTGAGCTAAACGTGTTCTGCTGAACGTACAATTTGATATGTTACGCTCTTGTGAGACGGAGACAATTTATGATATCAGATACTAAGCAGAATTACAGCCGCAGTAGATACAACTTAGGTCTAAGATATTCTCTAATATATGAATAAAGTATAAATAAGCTTAGTGGGACTTACTAGTGTAGTTATTGTAACTATAATAACTATTAAAGATTATATTTTTGTCAGTCTTAAAAATATTGCAATATCACGAACGAAGTTGAGAAACTATTATGGCATATTTGAATCAATGCACACATTGCCAAAAAAGTCATCAAACCCTATGCACTTTCAATGCAAGTGCTCAAATTGATTTAATTTATATGCAATCACAAAATATTAATGGATTCCGCTTCATTTTAAATTATCAAGACCATCTTAAGAAATTCGTGTTACTTAGAGCTTTATCGAGTAAATGCGTGGAAGAGATCGACCATAATTTTTTGAATATTTAATTTTTTTTATACATATTAATGTATTTATGCTTGGATTGGGTACCGAAATTGTTTTCTTGAACACAAGTGTACGAGATCTCAACTTGTGCTATATGCAAAGAAATTTCGCTTGATCTCTAAACCCTGTTTGAATTACCTAAAGAAAAATAGATAACACTTTGAGAAGCAGCAGAACACTGTGAGATGAAGTGTAAAACCAATAAAAGCACCTGTCGAGTAGTTAGGAATATATGCATTTGAAATGTCCAATTTCGCATAGTCATGTGAAAATAAATAATAATTTAACAATTTAAATACAAATAACATGATTAATTAATATTGTTTAGAATTAACGAAATCCTTAGTTATTAACGTTATACACCTTGTACAATATTCATTATTATCTATTGACGTTAATTGCTAGTTAATAACGTTAATATAAATTTAACATATTTTACTGTAACATATATATTGCTTAGATATTGCTAGAATAAATATTGCAAGTTGAACAGTTTAAGTCTATACATAGATTATCATTTTTGAAATACAACAACAAAACTAAATTGATTTATCCCAAAACTAGCGTCTCATTTTTCGATTAATTTATACATTTTAATTTGAATAGTAGGAAGTATTGGGAATTTTAAACTTTGGACCACGAAACTAGATCTCATTTATTATTAAACAAAAACCAACTATGATATTAAACATGGAAACATATTTTTGTCTAGTACGATAAGATATGTATTCAAACAAAAAATACACATTATCATTGTAAAACAAATACATTCTCCGATTGGGGAATAAAATGCATTTTACATTTTATAACGAAGTATAATAAGTTTAAAATCCTGAAAAACACAAGTTGAATAATTTTTTTTACTCAACGTTTGAATTACGCTGTATATTTTTATTTTATTATTAATTAATACAAAATTATTTTTAATTTATACTTAGGTGAAATTATTAAGCGCAAATGGAGAAACATGCAAGATACGTATACAAAAATTTACAAATCATATCATTCATTAGAATCTAACTCTGATTATTTTAAACCACAATGGAAATATTATGATTTGATGTCTTTTTTAAAAGACATGAAAAATGTTAGTACAACGGTATGCAAATTAAATATTCAGAAAACTACTAAACCTCAAAAGCTAGAAAAACATGATAACATTTCTACACCGACTGAAATATATTTTAGTGACAGTATAAAAAATGTTGATTTAAACAAATCTAACAAATCATCTGACAGTTTTCATGAGATTTACCATCAAAAACCATCAAATAAGGATGAATTTAAAAATGATGTGGACATCGATTTCCAAACCTCTGAGAGCCTTGAGCAGCATCATTCTAATACTATTACATCAAATATTCAAAACAATGAAGATCCTGAGGAAGATGAAAATTTTCATTACTTAATGAGCCTTTTGCCTTATTTACAAGAAGTTCCTAAACATCGGAGATTATCAGTAATGTGTAAATTGCAAAAAGTGTTTTTGGATGAACAGGGAGAAAAATATGATTAGTAATTAGTACTAATTACAAATCGAATCAGTGTAAAAGGCAAATCCAACCAAAATAATTGTAATAATTTGTACAAATTATAAATTTTTTTAATTTTAAAATTATCATAATTTTATAATATTTTATTAAAACTATCGCTCCATTTTAGTTATTGTATAATATTTATATTAGGCGTATAAATATTAATTTACTACAGTCTACAGATTGTTAAAAATATCGTATTATTAGGTTACTATTTACAAGATATTAATCTATTTACTTAATATAAATTTCTAATATTAGGTACCTAACTATAACTTTAAATTTACCAGTATGCCTTTTTACTTCTAGTATAATTCTATATTATTTTACTATTTATTTATTTTTTTTTGTTTAAGTAAAACTAAACGTTTTATATATACATACATTGTTCTTTTATTTTATAGATATTAGATACCTATCTGGATAATGCTTGAATTTGTCAACACTTTATATTATCTACCTTGGCTGAAATAAATAAATAAACAATTTATATTATTATTATTATTATTGTTGTTGGTACTAAATGATAATGTTATGCAATATCTTTTATAATTATTAATAATCATAAAATGTATAAAACAATCAGCCTTAAATTATTTCTTTAAGAGGTATTTTAAACTCTCAAAATCTCACTGTTAAATTAACATAAATAGGTATGACGATAACAGAATATAGTGCAGAAACATTATTATCAAATGACCCAGTACCAATTTATAATAAGAATTTATATTTTTGGGACATGCCACATTTGTTCAGCCAAAATTATATAAAAATATTTGTCCCTATTTAAGTAAAATATAATATGAAAAACACAACACTAGGTGTAGCTACATGTATACGTTATATACATTATACTATTAACATTTTGTTTGAATTTATAGTGTTAACGGTAACAAATTACAATAAATAATCAACAAAACAGCTGTGTTAAACAAAGGCAACTTTTATACGATTTTTTTTAGTTTCCTCACTCTAGTAGTATAGTAGTATAATAATAGTGGTAATTAATAATTATAATATTATTATTATTATTATTATTATTATTACAATTACTTGTGGGCACCTGTAGTGGAGTGCAGAGGGACGGACTATGGCTCCTTCTCTATTTTAGTTAATATAAATTGTTTTATAACTAGTAAGAACAAAATGATAGATAGTATGTGCTGTGTAATCAGAGATTTTTAATATTGCCCCCTCCCCCTTCTGGTTTATATGCGCCCTTGCAACAAAGAGGGAAAAAGCAGGTACCTATCCAAAGGAAAAATATCTTTGTAAAATTAATAGGTAAAAAACAGAGGACAAGTTGATATTAATCAGCTATACATGCAGTATCAGTTTCGAGTGGTTCTTTTTGTTGGGACGTGATAAGCGAGTAATTCAAATATCGAATTCGTTTACTTTTTGTGTGGACTGTATTAAGAAGTTAAGTATATTAATACACAAAAATGAATACGATTGACCACAAATTACAGAAAAATACGGAAGACGCGCTGCGCACTAGTAGTGTGCTTTCCGAGGTCATTAGTCGACTCGATATCGACGACTGCCGCGACAGTATTTTATTATATTATCCGATTATTTCCCATCGCCTATAGGAAGCCGCACACTAGCCACATAGATCAGTTAAATTTGAATCCAACAACATATAATCGTATGCAAAAAACCATCACGAATCAGGACAGTCTGTTGGTATATACCTATACCACTAAGTATAATAATATATTTCATGATAGGTTTTAGATTCTAAGCAGAGCGATTATGAATTGATTTTACAATGATGTGTGATCAGTCATTTTGTGAATCTCTTATTTTTTTGTCTTGAAATGTGTGGTAGGTGCTACCACAATCGGCCTATAACCGAGATAAAAATGATAGTTGTTGGTTTGTGATAAATGATAATTTGCAATAACGTTAGTCGGTAAGTAGTAACGCTAATCAATATAATGACCACATGAATACCATATAGTTTCAGAGTTATTAACATTGTGACAACTAGTCGCTCTGGTCGGTCTCAACTAATATATTAGATTATTATTTATGTACAATTAAATTGTAATTAATAGTGTATCTAGCTAGAACTAGACATAGTCGCTATGCGAGAAATGTTTACTCGGGTAGGTTTCACCTACCTACCGCACGCGTCGTGAAGTTAAACAGTCCTGCGACGCATAGGGCGGAGCAAACAACAAAACACAAAATTGACGAATGGATTAATTAACGAAAACTAACGAAATTGAATAAAATTGCCGGTTACAGGGCGCGAAATCATCGAACGAACGCACAAATAGGACGCCATTGATTCGATAATCATATAGGTATAATATTATCCTAATCATGAACGGAAGTGATTGTGACGAAAATGGGGCGGGTACGTTCCTGATGCCTCTGAAAAAGAAGAGATGTCCGAGGGAATCGGAAGAAGAAAGCTGTCCGCCCGAGCGGCGTGCTCGGTTTGAAGATTCGGTAGAGTGGAAGTGGACCAAGTGTACAAGCGAAGGCTTGTTCCGGACGCTGGGCCGGTACTACGACGAGACGTGGTTCCCGACCGCGGTCAACGAGTGGTGTCAGCTGTACTACCGGTGCAACCATGTGGCCGACTACTGGCAGCACCGAGACGAGTGGCTGGCCGGCGACGAGGAAATCCGGCTGGCCGTGTGGGCTGAAGTACTTAAGCACCGAGACCAACATGACGCGGAACAGGCAGAACAATGCGACACCGACCTGATGTACGTCGACGACCGAGTAGACGCCGCCAAGGTCAGCCCATTATTATATTAAGGTCCGAGCATACATTTTCGCTAAGACGACTTAAGTGGGTAACGCTCTAATGTACATTTGATGTCTAGAGGGTCACTGTAATGGATATGTTAAATTTGAATTCAATAATCATTGTATACGAAAAACGAGATTCTGAGCGAACCGGCTAGAGCAGTCTTAATATTACTAATTAAAAACTACGGTAATATTGTGATTAAAGTAATTTATTGTTTTCACTATTCGGCATTAGTGCTAAAATAAGCTACCTAAAAATAATATTTTTAAGATACAACAAAACAACTAAAATCATTTTTCTGGGTTTTAATATATAATTGCGTCCAAATTTGAACTTAAAATGTTTGTAAAAAATAACTTGTGTTTATATTTTTTTTTTTTAACTTCAAACCCTCGTAAAATATAATTTTTGCTTATCAATAGTCATTTTTTTTCTTCATAAAAGTAGATTAACTTAAAAGGAATCTTGTATTACATTTTTAAGTTTTTTTATCGATTGTAATTTTATAAAAACTAGTGGGTAAAGTCGACATTTTTTTATGCTTTTAAATAGTTGAAAAATAGTCATTGTATTTTGTAAAGAAAATTTCAATAAAACATTCGGTGAAAATTTCATGTATTTGCAGTTTTTTTTTTTGAGTTACGCTAAAACACAAAATCATTTTTTCAAAAACTAGTTTTGCATAAAAGTTTAAGTCTTTAACCTTAACTCTTGTTTGTTTTTCCTGACACTTTTGAAAACTATTCGGATTTTTTTACTTTTGGCCCCCCAAAGTACCAATATGATTCATTTTCCTACCAGAAAAGGGGCTGCTGAAGAAATTCAAAGCATTTTAATGTCCCAAAAAGTGATGACAGACACAGAAAAACACACATCATGGTAAAATCAATACATTCATCGCTCCGCTCAGAATCTAAAACAACTCACACCATAAAATGTCTTATTGAACTAAAATTCCGAATACTTATGAAAAGCACAATTTAATTAAAACATTAAACCTATTTGTTCCAACTATTATAACAATTATTTCAATTTAAAGTACTAATGTATTTACTAAAATTCAGGATTAATAAACTAGTGAACAAACATTAATTTGATTTTACTATTGATACGTATTTAAAATTTTAAAATTGTTATAAAATAATGTCGTGAGTTATAATAACGAAACACGTTTTCTTTCATTTTTTTAAATTCCATGTTATTGATCCATAATAATAAAAATATCAAATAATTAAAACCTCTAGTGTAACGAAAGATTAAAATTTCGATTATGTATACCCGGGCGGCCAGGAGGCGCCTATTTTGTAGTACCTGAAAATACAAATATTATCTGCAACGCCTGCCGGAATTAATGTATTATGTTTAGTGGCTTATATTTTCCTGATAACTTGAAAGAAAAAAAATATAGATGTGGCTTGGTGAGGAGCGGTTGTACGGTCAATCTACGGAAACGTTCTGAGTGTACGTACCGACCGACGTTGCTAGCTTCGATGGATGACCACCCGAGTTTTTTAGCAACACATCCTTGCCACACATACACCAAAACGTGTTACTATTATACCAACATAAAAACTTACTAAAACTGTACAAAAAACTCTACCGTATCACCCCACACAATGTGGCCTATGTTGCCACAGGTTCTCCTAGTAAACAAAATGCATAATTACATGATTTTATATGGTAAAAATGTTTCGTACAAAAATGCCGAATATTCCACAACTCGTAGTTTTTACTACACATATTATACTTACACTCACTACATATTTTTGTTGTAGATAATGGAAATACATGGGGCCCTAAATGAGGCAAATGACCGGATCGATCTAAAACGAGTGGACGTGCAACCTACCTGTGTCGAGAAACCGAACGCTGCGGAAAGGAAAAGGGCGGAAGTCGAAGCTGCCGAGATAGCACTAGCCGACCCTGACGAAGAACCGGACTGGGTGGAAATGAGGCGCAAGATGAGAGGCTCTTTTGCGGCATTAAACCTAGCCCGGTGCGACGTCAGCGCCGAACTCCTGGACCACATCATGATTGAGCTGTGCAAGTATTGGGCAAACGCGCCGGAACTAGAGCACGTGATCGATCCGCTGCTAGAGCGGAACATCATGCGCGAGGTACAAAATTTCCGATACAAACTCTACAACGTGGCCGTCGAGATCGAACCGGAGCTCGAACAGTTGTGCCCGGAAACGGAGGAACCGGAACCGTGCTGCATACGAAGACGGTCGTCATCCCTGCCGACACCACCGCCACGACCGTCACCAGTGGTCTGCAAGAAACCGAAACCTAGAGCATCGAGCTGTCGCATTCGCAGACCGGCTACCAACAAGTTGGTCGAGGCCAGGGCTCGGCAAAACGCCGCCAGGGCTCAGGACCGTGAAAACGCGTCCAAGGGTCAATGTCGCGACCGTAGGTAGTCCGCGACCGAAAGATTTTTTAAGTCTAAATTTTACTCTAGAGTCGTACTCTGTGACAAAACCTATATAATTTAATAACAAAATTAAATTTTATATTACATAATATCTTACCTGTATTTCTCGTCGAATGCGATATTCGGTGAGACGGATTTATGCTTTGTGGCGTGATAATCAATCCTCTTGAGTGCTTTCAATTCTTATTTGAATTTGTCGTTTTCAATGTACTTGACACACATTGTTGATTTTATCCTATATTGGTATAATGAAAAAGTTATTAATTAAACATTTTTATCTTTAAATTTTGGACAAAAAATAAAAAATGTAGGAAAGTCGGTCTCAAGATGACTTAACGACGACTTTGTTTGGATTAAATAAAGACACAACCCCCCGCCCCTTTAGTATTTTTTCAGTTTACATAATTACCTAAAAATGTATAGTAAAAATGATGACAATTTAAAAAAAAAAATTAATAATACTAATAAAAATAAATACAAAATTAAATTAAGGGAATTTCAGTGTTACCGTCACAATCAAGTTTCGATTAAAAATGTACGGCGAGAAGACCGTCGTCACCGAAGTTATTATTTAATAATCATTATTATTAGATATGGGATATTCCAAATTATACTCAATTATATTATAATTAACATTATATTTTAAACTGAAAAATAACTATTTACACGGGACAGATTAAATGGATTGACCATGTTGTCGGTAAACCGTGATATAAATTTAACTCCTGAAGAAGTCATTGATGAGTTGTGACAAAAACCCAGGAAAATAGACATTGTTTTATAATGAAAATAAATATTAGTTAAACAACATATTATTTTGATTTATCAATGTATAATATGTATATAATTTTTTATATTTAAGCCCCCCGCCATTGAAAATAGCTGTGTACGCCACTGATGCCAGTCTGAGCACTGTATTCTATACGTCAATGCTCATCTATGTGGTCAAGAAATTTAACTATAAAATAATATTTTATTAGTCTCGACATTTTTTCTTGTATAAATTAAGTTTTATAAATTCAATCATATTATATGTGAGATGTGACTCAAATAAGAATAATCCTGTTAAATAAGATCCACCCTTGTATATAGGTGTGTACAAGGCCGTAGTCAGGAGGGGGCGGGTCAGAGTTCAACCCCCCCCCCCC